TCTGTCGAAAGTGCAGCACGATGAGTTAACACAAACTCGTCGGCAAGGACCGCGGCTTTAGACAGTAACCCCACCTTCTGCTCATTAAGATACACGACAATGTTTTCAGGGAGACATGTCTTGAACTCTTCCAGCAGGATCAACTCCTTTAGCTGAGTAAAGTCCTCCGCGTGACTGGCAGCCACCCACTTGTCAAATAAGACAGTTTTCTCACGTGCAAATTCCACAAACGTTTGACTATCAAACTTGCGACAGGCACGAAACTTCTGTCGATACGCCTCTGGGACAAGTTCATAAGCCCGCAAAATAGTGGATTTGACAACCTCATAATCCAAGCTGTCCGCAATAGAAAGACTCGCACAGACCTCCTGCGCTCTTCCCATTAATTTGCATTGCAGCAACAGACTCCAGACGTCCTTTGGCCATTTTAAAGTGGTTGCGATGCGCTCAAAAGCAGTGAAATATGAGTCAACCTCTCCTTCCCTAAAAGGAGGTACCAAAACAACCTGTTTGCTAGCGTTAAACTGGTCTATGGTGGGAGTGTCGGGGAGTGTACTTACAGGAACGGGAGCAGCGTCACTCGCTCGAGAACGATCAAGCTCCATAGCTCGAATGCGGAGATGCATGAGCTCGACTTCCTTAGCCTTAGCCGCCAACTCCACCTCCTTCAAGCGAAGGGCAAGCCTGAGATCCTCCGTCACCAAACCCCCCCCAACCTGGCCAGCCGGGTCAAATACAGGAGACTGAATGGCGACAGGAGCTTCCGCCCCCGACGGCATCCGCCCCTTGGAAGGCTTCGGGACGGCCCCAGCAGCTTCCGCCCCCACTGCCGTCTCCAAACTCCCAGACCCACTCGGCGAGGTTTTCTGCCCCCCAAACACTCCCCTGTCCACCAGTCTCTCCACCAAACAGTGTTTAATTTCCGCCTTCTTAGCATTCAACGGAACATCCACCCTGAATAAGTTAGCCACTACCAACAAATCTGCTTTTGTGCACCGCTCCAACTTTTCAATGGAGGGACGTTGCGCAAAATCATCCATGTCAAACGACATCACGAGCAAAGCGAAAAAGGAAAACACAACACCGCAGACACCCAACCGCATCCGCGCACTCCAGAGCCGCAAAACTCGCGCACGACGTTTCCCCCCACCACAAACGCAAAAAGGAAACGAACCAATCACACGAACGAAAAGGGACGAGCCCCCATTTATGTTACGCCCCTAGTCTAGGCGGGTAGGGACGCACATAAGGTTGGAGGAGAGAGAGACCAAATCCCCGCCCTGGTTCCCAAGCCAAACATCCAAACCAGTTGTAAGTAAAAAAGTGATTTTATTTAAGGACAAGAAGCATAGCTCCGGGGTGAGCCCAGGCCAAAATAATAAACAAAACCAACTAAGTCCCACCAGAAAAGACTAACTAAACCCTAAGAAAGAAAAAAGAACAAACAAATGACAGAGCTATCCCTCGCTCCCTGACCAAGAAAACAGGAGAAAACGATTCCAAAAGAAAAGGCAGCTCACCCCTTCCGCTTCAGCCCACGAGTGCCTAAGCTTACAATTCACACTCCCACAAATACACAAGATAAACGCAGGCTGGGAAAACCAGGGTCAGGACTGCGACGGCTGTCAGGCTACTCGCTCGTTCCACACTCTCTCTCTCTCTCTCTGGAGCTGTCAGAGCGGCTTTTTGAATGTGGTCACCTGTTCCATGGTCCAATCAGCTCACTACTCTTCATTAGGGGAGGTACCTGTAGAGAGTCTTAAGCACAGTAAAGAGACACAGAACAAACAGCCCACACAGTGTTCTTATGGCCACAGCCGTAACAGATGGCCGGCTTAAATGAACCAGCAAAAGTTTGTGTGGAGTGTGTTCCCTGCTTGTAATGAGGCTGTGAGGATAAAGGCTGGGTAAATGAGTGGACAGGCTGCTGAACTGGTGGCAACTGAGCTACAGGTAGCGAAGTAGTAACAGGTGGTGGAGTGGCTGGCTGAACTGATAATAAGGCTGATGAATCTCTTGCCAACTGAGCTATTGACTGGGCTGTGGACTGTAACATGGTGTCTACTGGGTCTGACTGTGACTGTAATGGAGGTGATGATTGAGCGGCTGACTGAGTTAGCGACTGCTGGGCAGCTAACCGAGCTACCGGCTGAGCAGCTGACTCAACGAACACAGCCCCGGTATAAACAGTCATATGAACTGGTGAAACAGACGGAGCGTCTTTTCCACTCACCACAGCCGGCAGTTCCGAAGTCCTAATCTCCGGCTGTGGGGCGACGCGCCAATGGCGCGATAGTCGCTTCCTCCCGGGCAAAACCTCCGGCGGGCCGGGCAAAACCTCCGGCGGGCCGGGCAAAACCTCCGGCGTCCGGCTGGGTTGGGAAGCGGTAGCGGCTGGTGGGTGTAGGTGAAGTTCGTGAAGGATAAAGTCTTGCACGAGTGGGTGTAGTGAGTCCAATAGCCAGGGATAATCCGTGAGCAGCTGTTGCAGTCTGGCTTCCAGAACGTGGAGGAATGCTTCTCCCTCATGCTCTAGCCACAGGTTGATTATTTTTGAAGCGGAGTTCGTGATGAGGTCCCGAAGCTCCGTGGGTGTGGTGAATGCCGCTGGATCCATATCTGGCTGGTCCGTACTGTCACGGCGAGTGAGGTGAGCCGTGTGGAGGAAATGAAGGAGGATCCAAATGCAGGCAGTCGTGAAGGTGTAAAGGTGGTTTATTGAACATGAAAGTAAATACAAACGGCAAATGGAGCTAGAACTAAACTATACTGGGATCAACTAAACTACAGAGCACAAACCTTAACGAGAACGACCAGAAGAGACTAACGGCGGACAGCAGGGAGAACACACGGGTGAGACATGGTAGAAACACAGATGAGGCAGGTTGGAATACACAGACGGACCAGCAACTACAATAACGGAGGACATGACTTAAATACACCCAGAGAAACACAGGGGAATTACACACAGCTGAGAATGATCAACAAGACGAGACAGAGGTAAAACTGAACACACTCACATGAGACCCAGACCTTCACAATAAAACAGGAAATGAGAACACCACACCAAGACGCAGACATGACACTGAGAGACAGACAGAATGACACATGGAACCTGAACTAAACTAAACGTGAGATACAACAGAGAACAAATCCTTAAACATGAAACTCAAATAATAAACATCATAATCATCATCATAAACACAACAAGAGAACAAGAAAACAATCCCTGATGCAAACTAAAACCAAAACATAATAACCTCAAACATAGAATAACAAAAACATGAAACTCCACATACTGGGTCCAACGGACCCAGACCCGTGACATTTAGTCTGCCTCAGTTTATATGAACAAACATAATGTGACATGTACAGATTTAACAACACGAGGACTTCCGTGTGAGCTTTAAATGAGCGTCCTTTCTTTACCTCTAAGCTCTCCTCTTCCTCTCCTCTCCTGTCCTTCTTTCTTATCTTTCTCCATCTCTGAGTGATGTTAGCTCTCTTTCTTCTCTCTCCCTGTGAAATAAGCAGCTGGAGCTTTAGCTGCAACACACCGTGAGACAAACAGTTTGTGTGTTTGCTGATGTTTGTTGAGCTCATAGAAAGGCTGCATTTTAATTTTTTTTAATTGTTGGAATTAGGGATGGGTACCGGTGTCCGGTGCCATGATGGCACCGGTTCTGACATAAACGGTAGTAACCAGACCGAAAAGCAGCGCACATTTCGGTGCTTTATTTCGGTGCTTTTTTTTCCTGAGCTGTGATACACTTTAGATTCTAGCCAATCATTTTACGTTTCCGAGGATAGTAGGCGGGTCCAGGTACGTACGTTCTGTTAGAGCAGAGCTACAGATTAAAAATGTCCAAGGTGAAGCGGTCAAAGTCTGGCTGTACTTCACAGCAAAATATGCAAACTCAGCAGCAACAAGTGCTTTAAGCTGATACTGTGATACTGTCAAAGGAGGTAACACCTCGAATCCGATGAAACACCTGGCGACGCATAGCGTTTTTTTTAAAAGCCCAGAAATGCGCCGTATTTGATAGCTTGCTGCGAGACCTCACACTGTGCACGTTGGGTGGGTTGCCAGTTATCGGACCCGGAGCAACATCCCCCAAAAACCCGAAGAGGAGAGTCCTGGCCCCTAGCCCTGCCAGTGTAGCAGAAATGATGAGGATGATGAAGCAGCAGCAGCCGTTCTTCTCTGCGTGAGTAGCTTAATGTTGTTCGTGTGTAATTTACGTTGAGTAGGCTAACCACGTTATTACATTAATGCATGTAAGGTGAACTAGCAAACATCATCATAGCTACATGTCTTCTTGTTTGATGGCAGATACTCCCTTCACCCTGGCCAAAAAGGCTAAAATGCCCAAAGAAAAAGTGGAAAACAGCTGAACATGAGAGGTTTTTGGACAAAGTTTGTGTTCTCCATTCTTTAAGCACCGGTTCGAGCACCGTTTAAGCACCGGCACCGTTTCAAAAGTACCGATTTGGCACCGGTATCGGATAAAACCTAAACGATACCCATCCCTAGTTGGAATTATGAGAATAGAATCGTACAATCAGAGTTTGATCCTTCATGCAATAACACCTCCAGTCTCATTAGAGTTGTACAAACTCTGTTTTAGCTTTATGTATAATAATAATCATCCATTTATGTGCACTTTGCAGTAAATTGTCTATTTTAAATAATTAACTAATATATAATAATATTATATTACATTATTATTAATAGTATGATATTATTAAAATATAATATAATAAAATATTTCTATTTTCTCAGCAAAATATAAAGAAATGAGTGACTCATGACTTTTGCACAGTACTGTATCTGCAGTTTTACACGTGAAAAAGTAAAATTGTAAATGTGCAAAAATGAGATGCTGTTGTGTGTGTGTTTTATCCCACAGTAGAGCTGTAATATTGCCACATACTTACTGAAATCTTTTACTGAAATGCATTTTTTATCTCTAACTCTGATTATTTTGTTATTTCTTTAGTTATAACTGTGCGAGCGGCTCTCTACATAATAACAGCTGCACACTGGCTCAGCACTGATGCACACATGGAATTTAAACAATACATCAAAGTGCAGTTTTTGCATTTTTACCAGAAACAGCGCAGTGCCTCCTCACAGTGAAAGCAGAGCTCCTGAATACTTGCATGTGTGTGAGTGTGTTGCGTGCTGAGCTCCACCATGGTTCAGTGGCAGCTCTGCACTCCGGAGAACCTGATGTATTCAGGGTTTGGCCGTCCTTTTCCACGACACGGCCTCCAGCTGCTCTTTTGGTTTTCCAACCAGTGTGTGACCTGCGAGGTCGTCCAGCTGGTGGTCACCATGAAGGTAAGATCAGGTCTGTGTGTGTCTGTGTGTGTGTGTGTGAATCAGACTAACACCTGATGTGTTTCCACAGCTGGTGTCGGACTGTCAGCCGGAGAACGGGAACTTCGGCTTCCACCTGTTTGGAAACATGGAGGAGCTCCTTCCTGTTCTGAGCAGGCCCAGGAAGAGCAGGAGTAAGGTGTGCCATGTTTGTTTGGTAGTTTCACAGGTAGAGATCAGTCTGCTTCCTGTTAGGGGAACCGCCCAGCTGGTTATGGTTCAGTAAAAACACTTCAGTTTGAGGTTTCAAGCTCTCAGCTGGAATCTGAATGGGCAAACATGTCATTATAAGTGAAATGAGAAGAAGGGGAAAGGCGGGAGCGTGCAGGTGGGAGTAGGACTCAGACTGTAGGGGCAAAGTGCTGTTTTATTCCTCCTGTGACAGCCTCTGCCCTCCATCTTTACTCTCTTTCCAGGTTACGTACTTTGAGGTTGGCAACCTGAGCACAGAAACTTATCCTGCTTCTGCACACCTGCCGGCGTACGTGAGGGAAAATTATCGGTCGGGTGTCAGAAGCAACAACTCCAACATCGATCGCATCATCATTGGTTACCGGGTGAGGACCCGGGTGGTGGAGACGGTGTACATCACTGAGCACGACCCAGCCGCCTTTGGGAGGTTCAGATTCGACAGGACTTTTGAAATCAGCTGTGAACTGATCCAGGCCCTGCAGAACCCCCAGCTGGACCTCACCAGCTTCCTCATCCAGATGGGCTACTACGTAAATGTGCTCCAGGGCATAGGAGAGACCCCCTACTCGGATCCATCAGCTCAGCAAACCTGCAGCGTGGTGCAGTACTACAGCGGATCCACACAGCAGCCCAGCAGCTACGAGCAGCACGTGCACTACAGCTACAACACATCAGCACAGAGCGGGCCTGCAGCTAACTACAGGAAACTACCGGCGTACAGTTACTGGAAGCTGCCTCGTGAAGGTAAACCTGCAGTCAGGGTTCAGTTTAGCTTCACATGTAAAAGTTTTTAATGGCAGAAAATGTGGAATATGTCTGACTGGCTTCTTTGGTCAGGTCGCCCGAGTTCAAGCTGAGATGTGCGCTTCGTTTGAGGTTTTATTTCCCCAGATTTGCATTGTTTTTATGATTTGTCGTTTTGGTTTTCTTTCACAAGAAGCACTCGAGTTGGAAGCAACTGGACGTCTTATCCAGATGTGCAGAAGTCTCAGTGATGAGGTGAAACATCTAAAAAAAGACGTCCAGTCGTTTTCCACTGCTTCAGATGATCATGAGCTGTAGCAGCAACTGCACCTGTTAAAAGGCCAGGACTTTATGATGTAATGTGACCTTTAACCTCTGCTATTTATTTAAAATCAAACCATGTGTGTCATGTTTCCCTACAGACAATGAGCTGGTGTCATATCTGTGCTTTTACTTTAGCTTTTTATATCACCTGTAGGGTCTGCTGAAGAATTGGCTCCTGTAAAAGTTCTGGACATGAACCTAGAAATGAAGCTCCCATATTTAGACGTGATTGTTCAGAGCTGCTACACCGCGAGCCAGATTCCATTTTAAAGACTTTCTGAATTTCTGTCTTCAGCTTTCAGTGGAAAACCAAAGAAGCGGGATGGCGGCGAGGACTTTGGCTTCCTGAAGCTTCTTCTCGGCGCTGGAGCGCTCTACTTAGCAGCCAAGTGTCTGTTCTGGTTACTCGGCAGCTGGTGGAGCGAAGACGTGGACGGAGACGTGGCGCTGAAGCCACAGTGGACTCCGACGTTTTGGCGCCGCGCTCCCAGCGATCGGCACACGCACGTCATGCTGGATTACGTCTTCTAAAACTCACACGTGGTATCAAATGTCACACAAAGCTGTGGACTTTCTGGACTCCAGCCTGTGCACTGTGCTGTTTTCCACACTGGAGGAAAAATGATCATTTTAAACGATTTTAAGGTGTTTTTGCTTTATGTTTGACACAGACTGGACCAAAATCACATTACGCATTCATCCATGCATCCAGCTGAATCTGTAAACACTGAAGTGCTGATCTCTGAAATCTTACATTTTAAAAATCAGTGCAGTATTCATGTGATGGTTCCTGTTCCAGGAAGCAGCTTTAGCTCCAGATGACTCAGTTTCCACTTCCACAAAGTCAGCTCTGATTATTTTCATTAGTGGAGAAAGAAAGCCATCACCAATCGAGCTCCGATACCACCATTCACCGCGGCAACGGAAAAATAAAGAGCAGGGCAGCGATTTTAATCCAGAAGACGAAGCAATATGAGCGTGTGTCAGGACGGGCGCATCAGAGATCACACACTCGCAGTGAGACTGATTTTGGTCGTTTTTAGTGGAAAATAAACTCAAACTTTGAATCAAATATTGTTTGACATAATTTAAAAACTAGAGCTCAAAATTTCAGCATGAAATGTAATCAGATTACAGACTGTCTGTAGGTTCTTTTAGTCGTGTTTGAGACTAAATATTCACATTGGGTCTTGGGAATGAGGCGTGGGCTGGGAAGGCCACAGATTTGTCTCCACAGGTTCGACTCCCGAGGCTGGAAGCAGAGAACAGTGAGTTCAACAAACAGCTTGACCCCAGCAACAAGGTGACACCACAGCACCAGAGGCCAGCGCACACACTAACACAGGTGAGTTCACTGCCCACTGCCTCCAGGTGCGAGGACTCGTAGAACACGAGTGTTGAACATTTAGATTCTGTCGATCGTGTCGGAGAATGGCCGACACAAATGGAGATGCTATGAAACCAGTAACTCCAGTAAAGTAACTCCAGTAAAGTAACTCCAGTAAAGTCCAAGAATGAAGCAGAGAGCCGGAAATGAGCAGAACTTTAAGGCAGGTCGCACAAACATGGATAAAAGTGCGTTAGCTGTTTGACACAGACATACGGAGGGCCAGGAGTGACTAAATGAAGTAATGTAATACACCATTAAATAATTGATGAAATGTTTAATTAATTAATGAAACATATTTTGATAAGTAATTAAATGACCATTCATTTATTTATTTCAAATTTTAATTAATTATTGACACAATTCATTAATTCATTTTGTCACTCCTGGTGCTCCGTATCTCTGTACCTCTTTTTACTGGTCGCCCAACTTTCAGCAGACCATATTAGGTCGAGTAAACCTCGAGGTATTTCTCTGCTGGACAGAAATCTAATCATCGCTCTTTTTTTCTGAAGAACGAAAACCAAATCTCTGCCGCTTTGGATTCAGTAAAATTGTTCCCTGGACCTGAGATCTGAATATTAACAGGTGTGAACGTATGGCTACGACATCCTTAAATCTGGAAGCTATCATTCAGAAAACCCAACGCAGACTAAACAGTGTCTCCTGAGAGATCTCTGAGGAAGAGGAAGCGTCGCTCCGTGTAGAGAAAAATCCTTCAAACAACATCGACAAGGTGCTCTGTAACTTTGTGTGGAGAAATGCGACTCAGTATTTAAGGAAACCTGTTCTCAGCACTTTAAACAATACATCTAAGATTAATTGGCTAAAATATTGACAAAAATATCCCAACTGCACCTGGAATGTTTTTCTCCTCCATGTGATCTCTAAACTAGGCGCTTTAAACTTTTTTGGCATTAATCAAATCCCAATTAAAATTTCTGCTTTTCATTGCCGAACCTTTTTGTCACGGACTCTCATGGACACTTTATACAGACACAAATCCCTCTTTATGGAATACCGGTTTCTTAATATCCCGCCTGGGGATTATGCTCAAGTTTGTGCTGTTCTGGTCACGTCCCAATCCAAACCCTCAGCAGTGGTCTTATTATCACCATCAGATACGGCTGCAGGCAAAATACGCTTCTCTAACAATCTAACCAAGCAATACACACTCAAGTATAGAGTGGGACGAAATGTCTGGATCAAAGGTGCAAACTGTAAAAATAACAATGAAACAATTCAAATATACAACAGTGCCGAACTTGAACAGAAATAGAAAAGAATGAGAAAAAATAAACACAAACGTGCACAGACAGAGTCACACACAGATTTCCAGAAATAACAATAAATCAATCAGAGTCTTATTTCAACGGGAAACTGTTGCGACTCCTCATATCATCTCATACTGGGGAAAGTTCGTAGACAACACAAACTGGACAAAGGTCTGGCTCTTCCCAACTGATATTTGATCACGTTAAAGAAATTTCCTTTACATTAATTCGGTTAAAATCTAAATCCAGAAAGGCTTCAAAGAGAACGTTGATGTCAGCGGCAGCTTTTGTTCTGATCACACTGAAACATCTGTCCATCTGTTATTAGACTCAATTGGGTTCTCTCAAAATGTAAAAGAACCCACCCACCACTTTAATCACACTCTAGATCTTGTTTTAACATATGGCAGAGAAACTGAACATTTAACAGTGTTTCCTGAAAACCCTCTCCTGTCTGATCATTTCCTGATAACATTGACATTTACAATAATTGATTACACAGCGGTGAAGAGTAGACTTTATCAAAGTAGATGTCTTTCTGAAAGCGCTGTAGTTTAAGAATATAATCCACCCACTGTTATCATCTTCAATGCACTGTACCAACATAGAGCAGCTATCTGAACGCTACCCCAACAGAGGTCGATCATATTGTTAATAATTTCACCTCCTCACTACGTACGACTCTGGATACTGTAGCTCCAGTGAAAACTAAGGTCTCTAATCAGAAGTACCTGACTCCGTGGTATAATTCTCAAACACGTAGCCTAAAGCAGACGACTCGTAAGCTGGAGAGGAAATGGCGTGTCACAAATTTAGAGGATCATCATTTAGCCTGGAGAAATAGTTTGCTGCTTTATAAGAAAGCCCTCCACAAAGCCAGAACATCTTACTATTCATCACTGATTGAAGAAAATAAGAACAACCCCAGGTTTCTCTTCAGCACTGTAGCCAGGCTGACAAAAAGTCAGAGCTCTTTTGAGCCAACCATCCCTTTAACGTTAACTAGTAATGACTTCATGAACTTCTTCACAAATAAAAATTTTATCATTAGAGAAAAAATTACCAGTAATCATCCCACAGATGTAATATCATCTGAAAAGTCACCTGCAACGCCAAAATCTGGCATTGCACCTGCAGAGAATCCAGGAAAATGCTCTGCAGGTGTTTCCTCTAAAATGTCAGAGAATGGTTCTGTGTCAGTGCCATCTTCCAAGGTTGAGAAATTGTCCGATGACCTCGCCTTCTTCCTCTTCGCGAGCGTTCTTATAAAATCTAAATCTGAGACCAAACAGTCTGTGTCTCTGTCAGCAGAACTAGACGTGGCCATCAACCGTCTGAGAGACCTGATCAAGCCTGAACTCAGCAGCACAGAGTCCACCACGAGTCTCATCAATGACCAGAAACAGTTCATGAAGAAAATAGCCAAATCCCTCATCAGGGAGTTTGGCTCCCCAGAACGGGTCTTACATGCTGCGATGGAAAGTAATTCATCTTTTGATGAGGCTGTGATAAGGCATCTAAAAATCAGCCTGGGAGTCATCCCCAGTCCTCCAAAGAAATCCAAAATTTCCAGGTTCTTTTCAGCGGTGGGAAAAGCTCTGCGAAAGCCCTTTAGGTGGTGCATTAAAGCCAAGCTTAGGCGGGGAGGGGGAAGTAACAAAAGTGACCGGGTCAGAAAAAGGAGTCAAGGAGGCGAAACAATAAAATAAAACAATTTTATTGAAGAAGTTCAACTAAAAGAGACGGACAAGCCGCTATCACCATAAAGGAAACACAAACAAAAGTCAGGCGTAGGTCAAATAAAGCAAAAAGTCAAAATGAAAACGCAGCTCACTAGCTGTACCCACACAAAATGGCACTCTGGCCCAGAGCTCACCCTGCTCTGGGCTTAAATACCCTTAATTGCTGATGGGAGTCAGCTGCGCCGGAGGGAACGGTGGCATCTCAGGCAGGAGGTAGTGGGACACGCCCACACAGGCACCCTCAGGAGAGAGAGAGAGGCTAGGGCCGTAACACATTTATTAAAGTCGGTGTAACTGCACTGGTCATGGATCGACTTTTTGTTGATGACTTACTTGGCATTTGTGTATCAGTGAAGATGATATTAGCCAAAGCTTTCACTGGAAGTCAGCTGCTGGCGTCCAGCGTTAGACATGTTCTCACTGTGTGCGTGCGCAGTGTGCTACTTTGAACAGGTAAAGGAAACCAGCATTAATGAAATACTAGTCAGATGTTCTACAAGTTTACACAACGAGACATTGAGACCTGAATTCAAACTAAAAGCCAGCTTTGAGTAATGAAGCTTGGAGATGAACAAACACTGTTTAATCCATAAGAACAACTAATGACAAACAACATTTCACAGCTTCTACTGAGGGAGGCGCTACATAATCAGCCCACTGGATACTAAGAACCTGTGAGACAGGCCACAGCATGTGAGACTGGGCAGAGCTCGCTCTGATGTGATGATGTGCAGTACAGGAGGATCTGTTAGATCACAGGAAAGAGAAACGTTTCAGCAGTTACAGGAGCTCCATAAGATCAAGAGTTTGAATATACAGAGAACACAGCCGGGGTCACTTTGTTGGGATGATGATGATGATGATGATGATGATGATGATGATGCAGGGGTTTGTACTGCTGCCTAGTAAGAAAATGATTAGCTCGTCCCTGTGCTCATCTCTAAAAATGAACCTGGAAGCAGCTTTGAAGTCGGTGAAGTTTTGTACTGCACTCAGTCTGTGAGAAAGAAAGTTGTGATTTTATTGTACTTTTGTGAAATCCTGAGCTGATATTTTTCTGTATGTTGATGTTTTTGTTATTTTAGTCCCCGCCCATTCCAGAGAAACAGGCCTAGAAAACTCAGTTTTTAAGATAACTGTGGGAAATCATTTCACCCAGCAGCACTGATCCTGCTCAGCTCCATCCGTGACACAGCAGCTAAATACTGATAGCTGATAATACGCAGACTGGCATTAAAGGAGACACCACACAATAAACCTTTGTTAGCGCATTGAGAACTCATTATTATGACCTCAGGGTGCAGGAAGAGAGAGCAGGAGCGTTTCAGTAGGCTGGCAGGGCTGAAGACAAAACAGAACATGAGTCAAAGGATGAAGTCACTGAGGACAACAAGACTGGCACAGAGATCTGAGGACGAGTGGGAACCAAAGCCAGTGAATAATGGAAGTGTTGACGAGACCAGGTGTGTCGTTGCTAAAGGGCACATGTGGAAGGAACAAAGAGGCTGACAGGAAGGAGGCAGATGGGACATAACAAAGCGCCTCAATCAAGAAAGACCCCACAGACAGTGAGTTATTAACATCTGGCTTCTGTTTTTAATGAACATGCCCACTCGTCTTACTGATCTCAGTCAATGAAGCTCTGTGATGTTTTAGTTTTTAAATACATTCTTCAATTAAATTCACTAAATCATAACAACAGTTTATTATGAAGTAAATGTAAAGAGAGAGCACATCAATGCAATGACCACACAGCACCACCAGGGGGCAGAAGCGTCTCACTGGTGACAAGATTTACACCAAAACAATGAATAAAAGCAAAGAAAAGACTGTTTAACAGATTTTATGTGAGCACGTTTTAGTAAGAGATGCACAGGAACATGATTCAAAAGGCTGTGGGTTTGAATCCCAGTACAAGAAAACAATGACTAGAATAAAATGTGCTGACGTTTGTTTAGATGGTAGGGTGCAGCTGTAGACCAGAGGAAAGGAAAGAATCTGGGTGTGTGTTTGTGTTTTAGGTTGGTTTAGCTGTTTGCCTGGGTGTGTGTAATTGTGGAGAGAGAGGAATTTATTGTCAGGGGGGGTCTGCCTGTCATAGAAGGAAAGAGGAAGCCTCAGCTGGGGGTGGACAGATGTGCACAGAATAGAGTAAAAGTAGATGCAAGTCATGAGTATACAATCTTTCAGTAAGATGTTGGTTACATGAATGGTTTTTCTCATGACTAATCATGTGCCCAGCATCCACACTGCACATGCTTATGCAACACACACACACACACACACACACACACACACACACACACACACACACACACACACACACACACACACACACTCAAGTATCAGCACAGACTGGTACCATACAGACACCCCCACACAGGGGCGGTCCTAGCCTGTTTGGTGGGTTTAAATGTTTTTGCAGATGCCGTGACTCCGCCCCCAGCACGATGTCGCCCTGGGCATCCGCCCATGTTGCCCTTATCAAAAACCGCTACACACAGACACACACACACACACCCACACACACCACTCTGGCCATGAGTTGCTGTTGTTGCCATATAAGGGAATCCCCAGGGTTTTATAGCATATTTTAAAGCTCATGGGGACCCTCCCCCAAAGTGTGAGGCTAAATGTATATATGTGTAGGACTGAGGGATTGACCCTCAGATCTGCTGGTTACAATTGCATTAGTTCCCTCTGTGCGGAGGTTCGGTTAAATAAAAGAATTACAAGTGTTTGTAAGTCAGAGTTTCTTTTCAGCTGCGTGACAAACAGATGTAAATGGCCTGCATTTGTATAGCGCTTTTCTAGTCCTTAAGGACCCCAAAGCACTTTACACTACATTCAGTCATTCACACACACACACTGGCAATAGCAAGCTACATTGTAGCCACAGGGGCGCACTGACAGAGGTGAGGCTGCCGGACACTGGCGCCACCGGGCCCTCTGACCACCACCAGTAGGCAAACACGGGGTTAGTATCTTGCCCAAGGATATTTGGCATGCAGTCAGGAGGCAGCCTGGGATCGAACCACCGACCTTCTGATTAGTGGCTGACCTGCTCTGCCACCTGAGCTACAGCGACCCCAAATGTGATTCATAACAGTTGGAATGTGAGTGTGCAGGTCTGTGAAGCCCCCTCCACACCATAATGAGGGTCTGTGGGTCTGTGGGTGGGTTGCAGAGGGAATTGTGTATGGTGTGGTACATTCTTGAAAGTTAATAACCCTGCAAGAGACAAAGAAAGAGCCGGGGAGGTGGAGGTCTGGTGCTTATTCTGGCTGCCTCGCTGTGTTTCCATGTTCTCTCTCTATGAAGCTGTCACACAAAGTGTTTCTCTGCTGTTTCTTATTGAATCTTCAAAGGCTGATTATTACTTTGTTTACTGTTTACATTCTCACCTTCCTGTTTTCTTTCAGTTCTATTATAACTGTTATTTTGGTGGTTACTTGTCTCCATCTTCTCTGATTGCCTTGCTGTATATTTGTAGCGCTGTCACGTGTGCTCCCTGTAAACACACATTTCACAGTGTTTAACCTGCACAAACGTCGCTGCCTCTCATATCTTTGGTTTGTAAACTGTGACATTAATCTGGAGGAAATGTTCTCTGACCTTCATGTTTTCACTCAGACTCAGTTTTACACTTTTTTATACGTGATTCCAAAAACCAAACATACGTCACTGAGACAGATCAGCTATTAGAGTCATAAATAGTAACACATGAACAGTTACAGCCCGACCTTCACATAGTCTTTAACTGACTCTCACATCTGAAGCCAGACATCACGTCTGCATGTGTGCTGAAATGGTGAAAAACATTAGAACAAAGAAAATTGTTCAAAACATTCCCCATGAACCGGGAGAGCCTGTGCATCACATCCTGTCCTCGTCGGTGATCATATCCCATCGACTGTGCCTCCTGCCATCAGCTCATGACCTGTAACACTGACGGCGGCTGAGAGGAGTTTGGATTTAATAAAGTAGCTGAAAACAAACTCCACACTTCCTGTTCTCAGTTTTCCAGGTGAAACATGATCAGACAGGACAGGTAAAGTCTGCAGAGCAGCATGTTAGAATATCCAGTAGAAATAAGGACATTTACAGCCTGATATCTGCAGCCTTACAGAATAAACTCGGCCTCTCCCTGTCTGTGCTCAGCTGTTCATAAATAATTCAGAGTTGTTGTTTCTGTGCATTCCTCATTAGTGTGTCACTCGTGATCCGATCACACCCACAGCAACTCACGCTTCACCCAGTGATTCCTCCCCTGGATATCAGCTGTTTGAAGACTTTAAGGGGAAAGTCGCTGTCCCCCCTCCAGCAGGATGTAGAGGACGAGACCAGAACCATGTGCACTGCTACCTAACCAGCGTCAAAATCCTCAAACCTAATTTACAAGTCATTTGGTGTCTTCCAAACAAGCTCACTTCCTGTTTTACTGACCTCTGAGGTTAAGAGTCCACCACAAAAACGTTCTTTTAGTTTCCAGCAGCACTCAGTGTCTGTAGCAGCGTTATCAGTAATACCAACTTCACCATAACAGTCTGATAAGTTCAGTCTTTATTGGCATGCAAATATAAATAACTTCATTGTTAAAAATGACATTAATGTGCCTTTAGTTACATGTTAATTACACGTTTGCAGAATATCACAGAATATGTGGGCAGAAGAAAAAACATTAGCTGTCACACACTACTAAAGTAACAGTGACATCACACAGGGACGGGTGTGTTATGGATTAGGACTTTATAAACTAATAAATGTTGTTGAACATCAGTGATCACGTTTAGCTCCACAGGACAGAAACCAAAGCTTAAAACGTATAAAACCAGCAAATATTAATTAATTAATAATGATAATGATGATAATGATGCTGAACTGATATTAAGGGGAAGATTTGACCAATAAGAAGTAGATAAATAATAAACAGAACAGACCCCAGGTCAGATCCTTGGGTGTGAGTTCAGAGAATGAACTGGGTGTGGACATTTACCGAGGCTGTTGCTGTGAGGAGGTGGAAACCACATGTTATTGTTCATGAAGGTTATTGGCAGAGAGGTGAGCATGAACATCAGAAGCCACCGTTTCCACCAGGATTTCAAACAAACTGGACGCAGGACAAAAGCTGCTGAATCCCTGGATTATGCACGAGTGCAGTTACTATAGCTGAGAGACCAACAGATACCAGAGGTGAGGTGTAAGCTTCTTTAACTGAGTCAGCAGAAAAGAGGGTCTGATTGACAGATGGACGGATCTCTGATTAAGATCAGACATTTCAGTATTCAGCAGTATTACAGTCAGCTGGCGAGGACATATGAGGTGCAGAGAGTTGGCTGTTGAGAAGACGGCTGCAGAGCTGCTTGGACCCGACCTGGTTGGACCTGTTGCTGCTGAGTGTCCTTGTAATGTTGAATATGGTTATTACCAGTGTTGGGAAGTAATGGAGTACATGTACCGCCGTTAGATATTTAAAATACAAAATATGAGTAACTGTATTCAGTTACAGTTACCGTTTAAAAAGGTGGTACTTAGAATACAGTAACTTTGTTAAAATAAATGGATTACACGGCGGTATTTTCCTGTTTCATACGTTCGGCTGTCCCCTCTCTATTTTCTGTAAGTCCACGCCGGTGGAAACCCAAACAAAACACGCGAGGCTCTAATGCCGTGTCTGAACGTCACGGCTCATGTCACCTCTACTTGCAGCCGCATAATGACGCGAAGGAATATTTAAAAAAATTATTATTCAAAAAAAGATTTAATATGAAGGCAATAGGCAGAGTGTTACAGGCATCGCATGTATGAAGCATGTAAATATAATAATAACCACTGCAGCCAAACAGAGCCTGACGAGCACAGCTGTGAGTAAGCTATTAAGACTCGACTGTGTTCCTGTTTTCCTCTGAAACAATAAGTCCCGTTGCAGCAGCCTTTCAACGCCTCTCTCTGTCTCTGCTAGCAAACTTGACCCAGACAACAAAGTAAAGCTAGTTTTCAGCTACGAGCCGACACGAACCCGACGTATCAGCCAGAGGTCCTTTACTACGGTTCAGAGCCGCGGACCTGTTTTATATACGCGAGGAATAGTTTTCTACACGAGATCACAGCAAAAAGTGCAGCCTTACCTAATGTCCACCTACTGTTACTCATTTATATTAAGATTCAAACATCTAGCTGGTGTTGGTGTGGAGAGTAACCTTCAGTAATAAATCACATTCATGTAGTTGTAAAAAGGATGATAATATATTAAGTAATCCAAAGTATTCAGAATACGTTACTCTCATTGAGTAATGTAATGGATTACATTACAAAATACATTTTGGGGCATGTAATCTGTAATGGAATTCATGTTAAAAGTAACCTTCCCAACACTGATCATTACACAAAAAAGTCTTTTTGTAACAGAGGTTCCAGGTGATGTTGGTCCACACTGCTGCTGAGAACCAGAGGACGGCTCTGGACCAATGGGAGCATCCGGGTTAGAGGGAGTATCACCTGACAAGCAACAGGTAACACTAGTCTGCAGGCAGAAGGAAGGACCCACATGCTGAGCAATGGAAAGGTTTGAACAGGTTTATTTACAAAATGAGGTTATGATATTTCCAAGGAAACACACAGACACAGAAAACCAAGAGTGGGAGAACAAGACAGAACACATGAAGGATGAAATGTTGTTGGAACCAGTCTGAACATAAATCACCAAAAGTATCAGCCAACAGTCCGGGTGAGATGCCACCACCAGCCTGCACAGTCTGGGCTGAACAAGGAAGATCATTTTAACACTGGATGGAGAAAACAAGACTGACTCGCTGCACGTCTTGTGGTACAAAATTGTGTAACTCAAAAGTGGAACTCGGTTGAGCTCTTTCACACAAAGCCGATGTTTGGACATCGTGGCTGCTTCGCTGCATTCAGTCGACAGCTTTAACTATGAAACCAGTTCAGCTGTACCTGAGCTGAGTGTGTTAGTTGTTTTTAAATCATTGACTCATTTCCCAAATTCCTTCATGCACAGACTTTTTATTAGCTGCAGGAAGTGAAAACAAGCTTTGCTGTGAATTCAACTGAAATGTGAGACTCAATAACAGAAATCTAACAGGCTGACACAGAGGCACATGCAGTTCGTAAAATAAATGAAATAATGTAAATAAAACGAAAGCAACTAATTCAGTCAAAAAACAATAACCTGAAAATTTTCTTTCTGGAAACTCTCGGTTGGGAATTTCTCGCGTGGTCTCAGGTATTTTCAGCATGGTTGTCCGTGATCATGCGATGGGCCTCCAGCTTATCGTATACTGTGGTCAGGCTGGTGTGGCAGATCGTTGTTGATGACTCTGGTATATTTTCTCCCTGTAGAGGAGAAAGTAGAGGCATCAGATAACAGAGTAAAGTGGAAGAGATGAAATAGATACTGCTGTTCCTGTAACAGCGTCAGGGCGTTCCTGTTATCAGAGTCCATCCTGCTGATGTAAACAGGGCTACTGAGCATGACTCGATAAATGGCAGGAAATGAGCTTCAAGGTTATCGTTTTATTTTCCTTGGAAAAAGAAGGATTTCTGCAAAATGTTCATGTCAGGCGAACAACGCAGACGCACACACACACTCAGGGATTGAACCACCAGCCTTCTGATTGGCAGATGACCTGTGCACACCTGAGCCTTTGTGTGCTGCAGGTGCTATTTGCATTCAGTTTCCAGGAACTGGTGAGAACAAACACAGCATGTTTGCTAACAGACACATGATGACATCTGCCCTGGAGACAGAGCTGCTAATGATAGAGTTTCTCAGTGAAACGTCACCAACCTGTCTGTTGTTGCTTATTTGTATTTCACTATATTGGACCTCTTCCTGTGTGCCTGCGGAGCCTGCAAAACATACAAAGCTGAAGTTAAATTTAAACTGACACACTTTAAAAGCACAAACTGACAAGAAAAAGTGAAACAAAAAAGTGAAAGAACAGAAAATAATCAGGTCATGGACGCATGGAGGTAATAAAATGCTTCTGATGATTTACGATCCAGAGGAGAAAAAAGAGGAAGCAGGAATAAACTGTCAAAAATCGCACGAGAAAACCCCTAAAAAACCGAACCGTAGCAAAGCTGGAAACCAGGGCAGCAAAGATTTGCTGGAAAATGGGGAAAACTGTGGGAAGTCCATCCTGTTACAAAGTAAACCACACCAGACACACCTCTGCTGGGTTTTCTGACCATCACAGCTCTCTTTACAATCCTGTGGCGTCTTTAGTTTAGAAATCTCTATGAGAGGACAGCTGCTGCTGCCTGGAGCTATAGATTTGAACTGAATGCTAGAAAATGAAAGTACATGGAACCAATAACACACAAAGACTCTGTGAGGTTTGTACCAGTCAGCACAAACTGCTAAATACAACTTTCTTGATAAAAACTGAAGTTGAACGAGCAGAGAAAGGTGTTCATGTGTATATAAAACGAGTCTCAGTGAAACCAGAAGGAATCCACAGAGATTCATGTTCATGGGAAACAAATGTCTCCATAGTAACTGTTTGCATCACATCCTCCGTCACGCTGGTGGTCATAGAAACACTTCAGGTGCTTGGCTGCACAAAGGAAAGATACACAACCCTTACATGACCTTCAGACTCACAAACATGCCTGTGCTGTGTGCTCGGCTGACTCTAGATGAGCGTTTGACTCTTGCAAACGCTGAGCGAGCACAGACACGTCAAGGCCTGAAGCAAACTCTAAAACTCCCACAGCCGTCGCAAACACAAAGAACAGGAGTAGTTATGACGTTCATAAAAGAAGAAGTTCTAAGTTCCCCTCTGCTTAATTAAAACGAGCTTCCTCTTATAATTACCTATAATACAGCAGCAGCGCTGAACCGATGCTAACACTAATCAACAGCGTGTGTGCATTTTAAGCAAAGTGTTAAATTCACGAGTTAAAAAGGTAAAAATAAGTATCTATACTTCTGTACCCAGTGTGCATGTGCAGGCTGTGAGGTTACTGACTCAACAGCCAGCTGACGCCTGATAATGAGCACAGGGTTAAAATCTCACAGTCTTTCTTCTAACTTCATCTCCAGACTTCCTGTCTGCTATCGAGTGTTACTTCCCCTCCTGCTCCTCTTCTGGGTTTGCTTCACCAGCTCTGTGCAGGCTTCAGGTATGAACTTTGACTCTCGGGCATCAGTGGAGTGTGACCCTGCAGCGCTGCAAACCTTATAGAAGAGAAAGTGTTGAACCTCTGAGGAGCCACAGCTTTGCTCTTTATGTGCCCACCACTGAGTTGAGCTACATCAAAGCTCTCAAAGATTATTTGCAATCTACTCTGATTAATCACACAATCAGATCAAATCACCTGGTGGAGTTAATGTGATACTACTGTCACCAAGGTGCTGCTTAGCAACCACCATTAAATAGCAGGATGGAGGAAGAACTGCAAACCAACATGACAGGGTGAACCTGGTGTTCAGTATTACCGAAGCATCTGAGGTAAATCACCTCAGTAAGAGATGATGAGGTCACTGCCTGATGATCAGTCAGGTCTCCAGAAAACAGAAGAGTCCCTGGAGCTTTGTGTGGACAGTAGGAGGGTCTAAAGTTTCCCACTAGTGTCAAATCTCTGTTTTATTTTCTCCTGAAACAGGATCTTATATCAAACGTTCATGTTTGAGCTCTTTATTTTTATTCTTGACTCGATCATTCTCAGCAACATCATGAATCCATCAGATTCTCCTGTGTTTTCATGATCAAGGCTTCTTTCCTGGTTTCAGATATAAGAAACTTTATAAAAATAATAGTAGAGCCTGAAATATGAGGCTGATATGTTTGCTGGTATTAACGGTTTGCTGATAAAGCTGCAGACAGTATCTGTATCAGCATTATAACAGCAAATGAACTAAAAAGTGAAAAGTAAAATAAAGAAGAGACGGAGAAACAACCTTTGTCCACCAGATGTTACCAGCTGGGCAAACAGATAATTCATAATTTGTGATATAAAACTTTTCATTTTTAACACTGGGATTTCCAGGCTTCTACCGTTCTACCTTTAAAAGCCGGAGAGCAGTCAAATGCTGGAAGTGGAAGCTAAATTGGCTAGTCATTCATATGTATATTAGGTCGTTACCTAGGAATTCTGGAGGGAGGGGAGTGGGGGTGAGTGATTGAGGGGGTGGGGGAGTGGAGTGTTTCAGTTTGCCATCTTAGGGAGAAATCAACACATGTCCTTTGTATGTCCTTTGTTGCTGACATTTATTGATGAAAACAGTACAAAAAACCAACCATTTGTACACATATTTACAAATAATGATAAAAAGTGAGTGAGTACATTTCAACATTTTCAGCAATCACTCACAATCCTGGCACTGCCACGGTATCTGTCGTCTGCATTTACCACATGTGTACCTGTAGCAGTGAACACATCGCACAGTGGCCTGATTTTTTTTGCATCTGTGTTTGACCTGACACGTGGCCCTTTTTCCAGGGCTCGGTGTGGAGTGGCATACCTGAGTGGTGAATTCATTGCGATCTGTCTGTCTAGTGGATTGAGGAATTTCCCTGCGAATCTTGTTGACTGTGCCGAGGATGGTGGTTTTCCGTCCAAGAAGTTTTTGCGCAAGTGAAAGCGATGTGAAGAAATTGTCCGTGGTAACATTTCTGCCCTTGTCTAGGAATGGTTCCATCAGCCTCATTACTACATTTTCAGAAAGTCTCTCCCCAGTGGGACGATTGGGGTCCTTGCCAAGATATGGGAAGACATTGCAAATGTACTTGGATTTTAGGTCGCAGGCCACCCAAAACTTGATCCCAAACTTGTCCGGTTTACTTGCAATATACTGCAGGAAACAGCACCGAGTCTTTGATGGGAAAAGCTGTTCATCAACGGTGATATGTAGACCAGGGTTGTAGCACGTGATGCAGTTGGTGACAAATGATCCCCACACACTGGAAATTGCAGCGAACTTGTCAGTCTTTGCTCGATCACAGCGGGTGGACTTGTCATCAAAGCGTAGGTGTTGCATGATGTCTTGGAAGTGGTTTCGTGCCATACAGGGAGTGCAGAATTATTAGGCAAATGAGTATTTTGTCCACATCATCCTCTTCATGCATGTTGTCTTACTCCAAGCTGTATAGGCTCGAAAGCCTACTACCAACTAAGCATATTAGGTGATGTGCATCTCTGTAATGAGAAGGGGATGCAGAGGGATGCAGCAGTCTCAAAATTGCAAAGCTTCTGAAGCGTGATCATCGAACAATCAAGCGTTTCATTCAAATAGTCAACAGGGTCGCAAGAAGCGTGTGGAAAAACCAAGGCGCAAAATAACTGCCCATGAACTGAGAAAAGTCAAGCGTGCAGCTGCCAAGATGCCACTTGCCACCAGTTTGGCCATATTTCAGAGCTGGAAGAAGTCTGCATCCTTCAAGAAAAACATGATTTTCATGCAGGACAATGCTCCATCACACGCGTCCAAGTACTCCACAGCGTGGCTGCAAGAAAGGGTATAAAAGAAGAAAAACTAATGACATGGCCTCGTTGTTCACCTGATCTGGACCCCATTGAAAACCTGTGGTCCATCATCAAATGTGAGATTTACAAGGAGGGAAAACAGTACACCTCTTTGAACAGTGTCTGGGAGGCTGTGGTTGCTGCTGCACGCAATGTTGATGGTGAACAGATCAAAACACTGACAGAATCCATGGATGGCAGGCTTTTGAGTGTCCTTGCAAAGAAAGGTGGCTATATTGGTCACTGATTTGTTTTTGTTTTGTTTTTGAATGTCAGAAATGTATATTTGTGAATGTGGAGATGTTATATTGGTGTCACAGGTGAAAATAAATAATTGAAATGGGTATATATTTGTTTTTTGTTAAGTTGCCTAATAATTCTGCACAGTAATAGTCACCTGCACACACAGATATCCCCCTAAAATAGCTCAAACTAAAAACAAACTAAAAACTACTTCCACAAACATTCAGCTTTGATATTAATGAGTTTTTTGGGTTCATTGAGAACATGGTTGTTGTTCAATAATAAAATTATTCCTCAGAAATACAACTTGCCTAATAATTCTGCACTCCCTGTAGTTCCAATTATCTGTGGGTTTCCCAGGTTTGCTGACCAGCAGTCATTTACACTACCTTTCACCCCAATAGAAGCGTACGCTGCAGATGGAGAGCCAACGGCTAAGGCCAGGAGAAGTATCTCGAGTCGCCTTCAGAGCTTCCTGTGTTTCATCGCTCTTGACATGCTTCATAGCATTCAAGAATGGACTATTCAACATGCACAGCAAACGGAGCATGTTCATTGGTTCATGGACCTCCCTGAACTAATGGCATTTATTGCAATTGTCATCTTGCGGGGGGTTTACAGGGTTCCATCGGTAAATGACTGCTGGTCAGCAAACCTGGGAAACCCACAGATAATTGGAACTATGGCACGAAACCGCTTCCAAGACATCATGCAACACCTACGCTTTGATGACAAGTCCACCCGCTGTGATCGAGCAAAGACTGATAAGTTCGCTGCAATTTCCAGTGTGTGGGGATCATTTGTCACCAACTGCATCACGTGCTACAACCCTGGTCTACATATCACCGTTGATGAACAGCTTTTCCCATCAAAGACTCGGTGCTGTTTCCTGCAGTATATTGCAAGTAAACCGGACAAGTTTGGGATCAAGTTTTGGGTGGCCTGCGACCTAAAATCCAAGTACATTTGCAATGTCTTCCCATATGTCTGGAGTCTGGAGAGGCCTCAGAACCATCTCAGGCCACAAACAGCAGAACTCTCTGCCTGGGAGGGATGTGAGGTGGGCAAATGAACTGAATCATTTCTTCAACAGATTTGATTCAACCATGAGACAGTCTGCAACATCGGCTGCAGAC